GAACAGAAACTGAATTTTTTATATTAAGATTTATGGCTAAGAGATTCTTTTAGACAGTTAAATTTTTTTGACCGAGATAAAAAAAAATGCATACTAACAATACCATTTTTTCTGTTTCAAGAGAAACACACATTGGTTTCTTTATCTTTTAATCAGCCTCAATATGTACATCTCATTGAATTCTATATTATACAAGCTTCTATTGTATTTTATCAAGCATGTAAATAGCCTTCTTCTGTGAGGAATATTTCAGTAAGGTATCTATTTGAATCTCATTCCAAAGAAAGAAAAGGACTCCTTTTTCTTCCACATATGTTCTGCTATGCCTGATTTCATGACATCCCCCCTCAGGCAGTGGCTTTCTTGCAAACTTCAAGCATAAATTTAAAGAATCAATCTTTCTTCCTAATATGATAGCAACATAAATTTTTTTGTAATCATATTTCTCTCACACAGAATTTTCGCTTTTGTAAAGAGATTACAGAGGCTAGATTAACTGTGTTAAAAAAATCCTGATGGTATTCTGTGATGTATATGTATCAGTATTGTACAAAGATGCCCCAAGTTATATACGGACATGTCTGTCAAAGACGGTCAGTCACATCTGGGTTTCTCCAATAGCAGCAGAATAATTTGGCATATCCACTCTCTCTGCAATTTGTCCAGATCAAGTTTTTTGTCAATTGTCTCATGTCAATAAAATCAACAGGAAAACCAGTAGCCTGCTTTTGGCAAGACTTGCTTTGTTATTGGTGGAATGAATATGCATACACCTGGGTTCCCCCTCACAGTAATATGATTGGTTGGTGTCAGCCATAAATACAGACTGATATGGAGATACAGGATGACGCCTTTTGGCTACGCTTATAGTCTTCATCTATTGCCTACATCTATTGCCTACCACTACGACGAGGACCAGTCCATTACAGTTACCTGCTAGATTGTCCTACTCGGTTACAGTAATCTAAAACCACTTTGCTACTTCAAACAAATATATCCCTTTCCGGGACATATCAGTTATCATCAGAGATTCGTGTCTTTTAAAGACGTTCCCTTGATGTATTTTATTCTGGAAGTTACATACCACTTGCTATGCAGTGGTTTTTGAGGTAATCGCCTCATTTGTCATTATTCAACTTTTTATTTTATTCAGTCTCTTTCCCTTTTTTGCCAGTTCCCCATTAATTGTTAAGAGAACAATCTGTTTCCTGTTAAGTGTTTTCCCCCAGTCTCAACAGCGCCCTTGACTTCAAAACGTTCAAAATGATTTTGATTATTCAACCACCTCTCTAACATTGACTCACATTTAGTCTTATAGTTGGTATCTTTGTATTTTGCATGTCACAATCTTATCTTAAACATTTGTCCCTTGGTAGAATACCGTGTATATAGGCTCTTTTATTCAGCCTTGGTAGAATACCGTGTATATAGGCTCTTTTATTCAGCCTTGGTAGAATACCGTGTATATAGGCTCTTTTATTCGGCCTGTTAGACGTTTTGTTGGTCTGATGACATTCCTATCTCACACATTAGTTGACTTTGTATTTCATCTTTTTTTTTTGTTCATGGCATTTTAGTTGATGCATTCTTCAGCCTTCTTATGCTCTCTGCTGGCCTCTGTCAACAGATGCTTTAAGGTTACAGTGATTCTTACATAGTACAAGAATGTTGCTTAATAATAAAATATAAAATAAATGAAGCTTTTCATAGTGAAATTCTGTCAGACCTGAAAGGAGGCAACTAGGAATATAAACTGCATATATAACAGTCTATATAGTTGTAATAAATAATATGCAGCACTTTCCACTTATCTGCAGGTGATATGTTAAAAGATCCTTAGTGGGTGCCTGAAACCATAAATAAACTCTATATATACTGTACTTTTGCAATTTTCATGTATGATGAAGTTTAATGAATAACGTACAGTAATAATACTAATAAGAAAATAAAACAATACACTGTTATAAAAGTTATATGTTGGATAAAATTTTTCTCTTACTATAGATCTTAGTAACATAAGTGATATTTTTTCTTTTTTTATAAAGTTTATCAGAAATTCAATTGTCCAGGTTTTTTATATTAAAAATCTGAATGTCCAAATTCCAAATAATAATAAAATAAAAATAAAGAAAACCTGGTCTCATTCCTTTTAAATAAATCATTTTTAGTTACAAACATCAAGTCAAGTCAAAATCTGGAGCTTTGATTATAATTGCTACCAGTTTCTTAGTGATTGGGGTAGGCAGTCATCGACTATCTCTTCTGTTCAAGCATCCCTGGCAAGTGGGTTAAAGTGCGCAAGGCTACAATCCTGCACATCTCTCCTTATGCTGTCCCTCCACATCTTCCTAGATCTACCTAAACCTCTGCGACCAGGAATCCTGTACATAAATTTAAAAAAGAATCAAAAAGGAGTGAAAATACTCCTTAGTTGAATTAAAACCTTTGGTTAGTTGTTCCACAGAAAAATCTCTGATTTAGTAGTTGGTCCACAATAAATATTATGGGAAATTGACGTGGGCCCCAAATAAGATTCCCACATGGTGGATGTAGACATTGTAATAAATAAAGAATAGAATGCGACAGATTTATAGAATAGAACACGGCTGATTTATACAAGTTGTATTAACAATATTACAAATAAGTTCTTGCAAACTTAATGATGCCTGCAACTAATCTTATCACCTGAAGAAGAGTTGATGTTTTCGTCATATACGGACTCTGTGGTGATAATGGTGAAGAGCAGGCTGGTTCTGCAAGTGTTCATTTTATAAGTCTTGCCAAGAGTGAGTGTTCTTCAAAAAGAGGTAGAAAAGTGTGCCAATCAGCAACTGTAAGCTGATTGGCTAACCTTAAACTGCCAAGGGTAGATAATCATATCTCTTATTTCTTATAATATCTATGGTTGAAAAAAAGACTTCTAAGTACTTAGTCCACAGTTAAATAGTTCACATGATAATATTAAATTCTAATTGATTTGATTTATATGTGTTGTATTGCGGAATCTTTTTGGTATGTCTGTTATTGGGCAAAAAATAAAGTTTGACTATGTTTTCATATGGAATGTAATTGTAATCAGAATAGGTTTTGTTTCCTAGGACATTGATCTTTTTGCTTAAAGCACTTTATAGCTTCTCTTTGGCAAATTTATTCTTGCAGTTTTGAACCATTATTAGGTGTTAATTTGCTGCTACATAAACAAAAGCCTCTATTTTTGACTTCCTGGCATATTTTTTACAAGGTCAGATGAATAGTGATCATTTTATTAAAGTAATGATGGAACACTGAGTTGTAATTTGATTGGTTCTTGGTTATAATAAATAAGAACTAGAAGAGACCACTCCACTAGTTTATTTGGTATTGAACCAAATTTCATCACCATCAGCCAATCAAATTACATAATGTTTGATGTGGAGGAGTTCCAAGACCACAATCATGGGTGGCAGTATTTTATCATCTAGCCATGATCATGGTCCTCTGTAGCATAAGTAAAGTTAAGTAAAATTTATAAATTGTTTATTTATAACTGAACCTATGGAAAATAATGCAGATAAAGTCGGCCAACTGTAAAGGAAAATCAAGCTGACCACAGATGATTCAATTTAAGTATATTACAAAGTCATTATCAGTTGTTATTTCATTATTTCAGTTGCATGTGTTTTGAAATTGAAATGTTTAAATCTTTGTGAACCAATCTTATATTTAATTTTTTATAAAATCATTCAGTGACTTTTCTTTGTTATTTATTTCAGATTTGGACATCAATAATTCATTTTTTTTTCTTACAGTCTACACAAAAAAAATCATTATTTTGTAACTCCTTTAATCTTTGTTGTGTTGCATTAGTGTAGAACTTTATCACATGAAGCATGCTTAATGTTACTTTTGTTCACGTTCTTTGCAGAGTTCAAATATTGAGTATTTATGTCATTCGGCAAAATGTATTTGATTAACATAGAAATAGAGATCAACCCTTCATGGTAACTATCAGTTTCATGTATAAATGTGATCTTCAAACCTCTTAGTGAAGATCGTATTTACTACTATGTTTACACTGTCTAGAAGTCCACTATCTCTGTTATTGAGTAATCTTCACCATTTTATAGATATAGACAGTGAGTGTGGAAGAATCAAAACTGCATGATAAATGTCAGTTCCATGTCTAAGGTGATCATGGCCTGAAAATTGCATTGAAGCTTGACAGCCACCATGTAGTGTTGATTCCTACATCTGCACTGCTGATATCTACAAACACACTCTTCCATATTGAGTACATTTCCCTTATAAATATGGAATATTTTTTTAACAATGTATTTATAATATGATATAAATTCTTCTTATGTCCAAAATAGTCTGGTGTCTTAAGAAAATTCTAAGCATGAATAAAATTGTAGATTTATGGTAAATATTGTAATTATTCATGTAGAAAATATTGTAATTATTCATGTAAGAAATATTGCAATTATTCATGTAGAAAATATTGTAATTATTCATGTAGAAAATATTGCAATTATTCATGTAGGAAATATTATAATTATTCATGTAGAAATATTGCAATTATTCATGTAGGAAATATTGTAATTATTCATGTAAGAAATATTGCAATTATTCATGTAGGAAATATTGTAATTATTCATGTAGAAAATATTGCAATTATTCATGTAGGAAATGTTGATGAAGAAACTTTAACATGGAACAATGATTAACAAATAAATTTTAAAGACCATGACATGGAATCTGTTTGATCCTCATCATTTGCCCACACTTGTTAACATTCATAAATATCTCAAAGAATTATGAGGAAGATCTAACTTTCTTTTGTTCATTGCAATGGTTACAATCATAATTATTTCCATGAGAACAGAAAGGCCAGATATTTAAAAAATATGAGATGGTCGATGCTAATGAAATTATATTCTTTTTTTTTTCAATGACTTTCTTTTATTTTACAAATTTGACATTAATAAATACAGAAATGTCTTTTGAAATTTACTCAACCTATGTTTGCTTTTAATTCATCTTGCCATATTTTTCAATTTCTTTTTTATGCATATCTTGCAGATAAGAAAGATGGTGCAGTGGAAAAAGCCAAAGAAGACGACAAACCTAAAGGTATGAAAACATTTGAGAGTTGAGCACGTTAATTTATCAATCAAAATTTAATTAATAATTAATAATCGGTTAATTAATAATAATACAATTAATGATAATGAGTGTAAGAGTAATTGGATGCTTATTAAAGCATTGTTAGCATAGTACCTGTCAAAAATGATGGGTTTATTTATGGATTGGTAAGGCTACTTTGAATTATTAGATCTGTGCATTTGATCTAGAATCAAAATGCCATATCCTAGCAAAATCATGTCTACCACACTGACAACACCCAGTTCTTGATAATAACTGAGATGGTCAAATGTACTTGAATAAAACAGAATAAAACATAAACTTTGAATTTATCCACACTTATGTCAGTTGAATTAAACAAAACTTGTTTATATATATATATATATATATATATATATATATATATATATATATATATATATATTTTAATTTATGGCTTAAATTTTTAATGGGTACACATATTTTCAGTAGATGCTCTATTTCTAAGCAGTAAATTTATTTATTTCCATCTATCAGCCTGAGTATTTGAGAAATCTTGTTAGAAAAAAAAAATGCACTCTCTAAGAAGATTTTTCAAATATTCAGGCCAGTAGATGGAAATAAATAAATATTCTGGCAGATGACAAAAAGGGAATTTCAATAGAAAATTTATTAACAAAAAGCCAAGAAAACCTATAAACGAATGGGAAAATAAACAAAGACAAAAAAGATCAGACAATAGATACCTGTCTAAAGAACCAACACGTCTCTATTCCTAGTTTATCAAAATAAAGTAAAAATGCTTCACACCACCATACCTCAAAAGTGACAAAGTTTTGATGACTCCTTAAGTTTTGCACTGCTGTGATAATCAGGCAACAACTAAAATACACACAGACACACACACACACACACACACACACACACACACATATATATATATATATATATATATATATATATATATATATAAATGACAAAAGACAAGAGAGAGAGATCAAGTATGGATAGGAATCCAACAAAGTGATAGGCTAAAGAACAAGTGGGAAACAGAATGTAATCTAACATGTTTCACGTTAGTAAAGCCTTTCAGAGATCAAGATAACTTGATCTCTGAAGAAGCTTTAATAAAGTGGAACATTAGATTAAGATCTATTTCCTACTTGTTCTTTATCTTATCCTATCATATATATATATATATATATATATATATATATATATATATATATATATATTTTCCGATTTATTTAAAAAGTGGGCATTGTATATATAATATAATATTTTGAGCTTTTTTTTATATTTTTGTTCTGTCCTGGATATTGGTCTGATGAATTGGAAATTAAATATATATATATATATATGTGTAAAAATTAGTGTTTGAAAGAACTCGTTAGGTTTTATCCAAATATTCTTTAGTGTTTTGTCCTGGATATTGAGCTCTATCTAATTTTTATTTAAAAATATGAATTTATATATATATATATGTGTGTAAAAATATATAGAAAAATATAAATTTGAACTAAATTGAATTAAAAATAATCCAAAGTTTTTTTGTATTTTTTCCTGAAATTTAAAAAAATATTCATTGTTGAAGTGATTACTATGGTAACGATAAAATTGAAAAAAAGGGTGTAAGGTGTTAATAATTTGTATCAATATCTCAGTTACGTTCAAAGAGGTCAAGTCAGGGGGTAAGGTTAGGGTGTCTAAATTTAAAGCGGAAGATGACATCGTCTAGTCTGGTTAAGAGTCTATGGAGTTTTATTTATTTTTTTATTTTATTTTTTATTTTTCTGAAAGGGTTTTGTTTATATTCAGCAAAAAAAACTTTCCAATATTCTTGATTTGTTAAGCAAAATATTACAAATTTTGAAAATATATTCAGTGTTTATTTCTTTTTTGTTAATTGAATAGAATGCGATATTAACCCTTTTCAGAAACAACTGAGACGACAACAGTCACATCAAAAGATGGCAAAACTACCACTGTGACCACTGTACAGACCATTACAGGTACTTTGAGTATCTGCATGTCCAAACCAACAAAACCCACTGACATTAAATGTCTGCCTTTTTTTCTCACCAAATCCCACTACCATAAAATATCTGCATGTCTTCCTTAACTGCTTTGCTAGATTGAGAGAGATTGTCTGCTACTGAATAAAAAAAAAAAAATATTGTTATATGATAGAAAAGATAAACTGAAATTTTATCATTTTTATTGCTTTCTTTTTAATTTTTATTCTTTATTTATCTCCCTTCTTCTTTTCTTCCTTTTTTCCTTTCTTTCTTTCTCTCTTTCTCTCTTTCTTTTTTTCTTTTTCTTCTTTGTTGTCTCTTTCATTTTATTGAGCCTCCCTTTTATACATCTTATATTCATTTATTTTACCATTCCTGGCTTTTCCTTCCTTTCGTGTAAAATGTTCTAATTCTTCAAATGTATTGTTCTTTCCCTCATCCTTTTTTTCATTATTTCCTTCATCCTTTCTTTCCTTATTTCCCTCATCCTTTCTTTCATTATTTCCCTCATCCTTTCTTTCCTTATTTCCCTCATCCTTTCTTTCATTATTTCCTTCATCCTTTTCTTCATTTTTTTCTTTCATATGCTCATTTATTTTACTTCCTTTCTTTTTTTTATATTTCCTTTCTTTCTTTTTTTCATTATTTTCTTTCTTCCTTCTTCCATTCATCCTTCAAGTTTTCCTTCAATCATCTCTCCTACTCTTAAATACTTCTCATTCTTTCTTTCTTCCCTCTTCCATAGCTTTCTTCTTCCTTTTATTCTTCCACTTGTTGTTCATTCATATCTCCAACTTTTCTATACTTTCATTGTTCTTCCCATTTTCTCATCCTTCCTTCCTTCCTTCCTTCCTTCCTTCCTTCCTTCCTTTCAATATTTTCCTTCATTCGTCTCACTCATATATCATTCCATCCCTTTATCTCATCCTTCCTTCCTTCCTTCCTTCCTTCCTTCCTTCCTTCCTTCCTTCAATATTTTCCTTCATTCGTCTCACTCATATATCATTCCTTCTCTTTATGTCATCTTTCCTTCCTTCCTTCCTTTCTTCCTTCCCTCCTTCCTTGTCTTCAGTATTTTCCTTCATTCGTCTCACTCACATATCATTCCTTCGCTTTATCTCATATTCCTTCCTTCCTTTCTTCCTTCCTCCCAATATTTTTCCTTCATTCGTCTCACTCACATATCATTCCTTCTCTTTATTTCATCTTTCCTTCCTTCCTTCCTTCCTTCCTTCCTTCCTTCCTTCCTTCAATTTTTTCTTCATTCATCTCACTCACATGTCATTCCTTCGCTTTTTCTCATCATTCCATTTTTTCCTCCCTTTTCCCTATCTTCCTCCATTATTTACTTTATTCCTTCTTTGCTTCCTCTTTTCATTCTTTCATTCCTTTCATTCTTTAGAATTTTGATTTCCTACTCCATTTTTTTTTCAATATTTATTTTGTGCATCCCATTTTTTCTGCTATCTTCATGTTCATCTTCATTTGCAATTTTCATCTTCTTTTATGTGCCGTGTCCCTTCAGGACGTGGGCGATCCTTGCTGTCTTATTAACAAATGCAACTCTTCAACATGTTTCTATAATAAGTATAAATTCACTCATTAAATTGTAGATTTATTCTTTCTTTTTTGTCTTCTGTCTTAGCTACTTTTTTTTCATTTATTTCTTCCAGCTTTCTATGTTTTTCTTTTCTTTCATTCATCTCAGCTCAATTTTTCTTTTCTTACTTTTTTTCATCTCAGTTTTCTTCACTTTCTTTTTCTTTCTTTCTTTCATCTCAGCTCACTTTTTCTTTCCTTTATTTTCATTCTTTCATTTGTCTCACATCACTTTTTCTTTTCTCCCCTTCTTTCTTTCTTTCATTTGTCTCAGCTCACTTTATCTTTTCTTCCTTTCTTTTGTTTCAACTCACTTTTTTTTTTTTTCTTTTTTTTCTTTCTTCCTTTCATCTCAGCTTACTTTCTTTTTTGTTTTCTTTCTCTTTTCCATCTGAATTCTCCTCTCTTTTCTTTCTTTCTTTCAGCTCACTTTCTTTCTCACATTTTTTTAAATATATTTCTTCTTTTTCTTTTTTCTTTGTTTAAACTTACATATCTTTTTTCATTCAAACCAGCTATCCTTCCATTTTCATTCTTTAATTTTTCTTCATAGTTTTCTTTTTTTTTTTTCTTCAAACTCCCCAATATCACCTTTCTTCTTTTCTCCATTTTCTCCTTCATCTTTCTTCCATTGCATGTTTTTTTCTAACCCCTTTTCAGCAGAACGAATGTTAATTGTTCTTTATTTCCACCAACTAAATGCAGATCTTAACTAATTTTTGTCTGAATTATTTTTAATGACATGTCTCTTCAGAACATAGATGATCATGGCTCTCCACAGATACCTTTTCTTTATCATCAGTGAATTGCCACCACTTCGTATCGAATGATAGTCAAGTGGTTTTCCATTGCCTTCTCCACAATTTTAAATCCATAGAAGTCTTTCTCTTAGATTGGTTGCCACCCAAGTCTAAAGTACCCAGTCTCCCCTGTTATTTAACACATAGCTGGGACAAGAGGAGATAAATTCATGCCTTTCCCAAGGGCATTTGTGCGAAAGTGAATGCAACAAACTAACCTAGAATTTGAACTCTGCTTGCCATTTCCACTTTCCATGTGAATATCCATTACATCACCTGCACATACAAATATCGTCTGAAATCTTTTATTTACACAACCTGTAACAAAATCCATTAGAATAATCTGAATTTATAAGCATTTGTGCAAATTATTTTTGTTTAGCCATTTTTATTTATTTAGTTCATATTTGATTGAAACAGTTTGTGAAATCTGTGAAAAATGCTTTGTTTTTGTTTGAGAAAAAATCTAAAATGTTTCAGATATTTACATCATATCTTTGTTGTTATTTAATCAAAGTAGCCTTCAGGGAATTTTAAACTGAAACCCTTATTTAAACTATCGTGTCTGGGGGCATCTTGTCTAGGCAAGATATCCTTAGACACTGTCAGTAGAACAAGAAGAATCAACTCCCATCGATTAAATACAGCATTCAATTTGTAAGTTACCTAGAGTGACAAGCAAACTGATGAAGCCAAAATGTAATAACAACAATAAAGATGAGGATATTAATTCCCATGTAAATAATATAAACTCCCTATCCCAGAAATTCAGACAGAAATTTTGGCAATTCTTAATATTCAGGTAATTCAAATATGAGTCTTTCTTTCTGAATACACTTTTAACAGCACTCTCAATCTCTGTAGACTATAAATAATTTATTTACATTTAAAATAGTATCGCTGTTATTACGTTGGTCAATAACTTGTTGGGGATGTGCAGAATTTATTAATTGTAATTGAGAGAATCAGAAGGAATTTGTGTAGGTTGCGTGACTTTCTGCATCCACAAACAAATAAATAAACGAAATTTAAAATACAATTAAGAACAAGACATATTCAATTTAGAAACCAATAAAACATTTATATACAATTCAAAGTAATATATATACAGGATATTTTGCTATATGTTACTATGGCAAAGTGTGTGTGATATTTTTGGGTTTGTTATGTCTCTCTCAGTATTCGTATATTCATTTACAGTCTTTCTAGATTTGTGTTAATACTAAAAATGTTGATATTAAGTGTTTTTTGGAAGGAGTTCTTATGGAGTGATCTACCTTTGACTGTAATATTTCTAAATCGTTCGCACATTGATTTTTACTTAATATGTAGTGAATATAATTCACTTTGGATAAACAAAGTTGTTTTAGGTTTGTGATTCGATGTCCACAGAGTTGGTCGAGTTTAAATTGCAAGTGAGTCAGCGTTGATGTACTTTTGTGCAGTAAAGCCGTGATTTCAAGTGACATGGAGTATGTTGTCAATTTCTCTGTGGATGTTCGACTCTGACTCTTTTGGTCAGTCGGTGTTTTCTTTTATATGTTTTTGAAAGTCCAAAATCGGCTCAAAGAAGTTTTGGTGCAATTTTGTTTTGCACGTGAAACTTTCAGATTATTGTGTCATTAACCAATGAGATTTGTTGATTCACCTAGTACGGTTTTTATTGGTCAAAGTTTTCCATACATAGGCATAAGATATAAACTGTTCTGTTACTAGGGGTGATAGGTAGGAAAGGACGAGTCTACAAACTGACCTGTCATTTAATATTTTTGCAAAAAAAAAACAACACCTAAGACAATGGCATCTTAGTTCCCTTTCTTATTAGTCTTCCTTTAGGACACAGTTACTCATATTTGACATTAAACAACCAAACCTTTTTGTGGTGTGGGGGGGAGCAAGGTAATAATGCCACTAAAACACAAGGGGTTACTGAGTGTGAAAGAATAAGAAAAAGAAGACATTAAGGAGCAAGAATATTAAAAGAGGAGGAATCAAGAAGACAGTAGATTAAGTTTGCATTTAAATTTTTTGAAGATCAAAGTTGGCTGGAAAGCAAAAAGATGGAAGTGAGTTCCACAGGTGAGAAGTGTGAGAAAAGAAACTGTTAGCATAGAACTTACGGTAACATCTAGCCATTTCAACAGTAGAATGATGAGACCTTATTGCCAATCTAGTACTGCTTTTAAATTCATAAAGTCTAAGTACCATAGAGCAAAGCTTTTCAAAACAATTAACATATTTATATATTTATAGGAAAGGGACAGGAAGCTACGCTATGGTGATAGGAAAGTGTTGGGCTAAGATTTTTTTTTTTTTGGATAACTTATATAGCAATGCCTTTTCCTTTTTCAAAGCTCTCTTTTGGAATCACTATTAACTACCTTATTGTGTTTTCCTTAATCTCACTCAGTAACTGAAATCTACTGTGAAACAGTGATTCTAACTTTGGGGTGAATTCAAAAGTCAGAATGAGCCAAATTGTGATTCTAGTGGAGCTGACAATGGTTGTTGTAATATTTTCCCATAAGAGTCATTCATAATGAGGTATTCAAAACGACTGCTAGATTCCAGACAGTCTACAGAATCCCCAGATTTTCTTCTAATTTTCAGTCACTGCTTTCCTTTGATTGCAGTCCCTATGTTCAATATTTCAAATGTTGACAGAATGCAGAAACATTTAAATGGCCTTGAAGGCAATGAATTATTTTCCACCCCTACTACGCTTTTCTCACAGACACAACAACATCACAAACCTATCACTCATCTCTCGCTATTTCCATGAAAAATGTTCTGATAAGCTACATACGCAAAAACTGCATTCCTTGACTCTTATGTACATCAACCACATTCAGTAACCCGATACCTTAAGTGGCTCTTTGGCCTTTCATGGGTGGATTAGTTCCACTAGTTTAGACCATCAGAATTAAGACCCACCATACTATGTACAATGGGGAAAACTGTCCTCATTCTCTTTGTATTTCATTGATAAGGAAGAAGTTTCATTCAAAGTTTCTTACCAAGAGCTTTTGTGGAACAGCCTCCTGAGAGGATGCTTCCCTGACCACTAGAATCTTAACCTCTTTAGACTAGGGTCAAACTACATATCCTCATAATGTACAATTCTTACGGCCATACAACAACCCCATACAGTAATGCTCTTCCTTGAGTGACTCTTGGGATTTTTATTAGGTGAACAATATTATAAAAACAAGTTTTGAGTGTTAGTAAAAAGAGTTTATCTTCATTTTACATAGTGAATCTTCAACAAAAGCATTCTTTGAATTGTTTCCATTGTTTCAAGTAAAATCTTTGAATGCTATGGGCATGCAATATACAAGGACACTCAATGGCATCTCACTGTTGACTGAGTAACCCCATGGGAGAGTGTTTGCTCATGCAGGTGTAGTAATAGTGCCAAGTTACATTAATAATTTGCAAATTGGTTCTTTAGGTAATTTCAAACAGATCTTACAGCATAAGTTTATTTAATTGTCTATTTTCCTTAGACAGCTTCATGCTAAAATATACAATTCAAAGCTGGTTTTTCTTCTCATAATGGTAAGAAACAGTGATAATGTATTTCAAAATTTATGCTAGACTCAATGAGAATAACACACTGTACTTTCTTGGCTTCATGTTTTCCACTGACTTGAAGTGGAGCAACTATATTGAATCAATTGCTTCATCTTCTGCAAGGAAACTTGGGTCACTGTGTCGAGCCAGAAAATCTTTCTCATCAGAATCCATCTTGCACATTTTATTCAAGTGTAATGTCAATCGACATCTCCAGTTGCCTTGATCTATCCACTACCCTCATCCTTTCTTCTATCACTCCTATCTGATCTTGCTCTAAATTTTCTGTAACCACTTGCATCCTAGTGGCTTCCCGCCTTGCTTGGGGTGAAATGCTTAAAAAAAAAAAAAAATCTGCCATTCGTCCATGCATTGAAAACTGTTACCATATCTGGTCTGGTGTCCTCCCCCACTGTACATCTTGAGATGCTTGACAAA